ATAAAGTGTGTATGAAAACAATTTAATTAAAATAAATTTGATTTCAATTTATGAAAAGCAATGCAATGTTAAAGCCCTAGTTCTTTCATCATTTTATATTAAAGTACACATTTAATTTCGCATTTAATTATAATTAATTTCGCAATTTATTATCCATCTAATTTTACAAGATATTTATTAAGATCTAATATGTGCAAAGATTATTTAATTTAATTTTGGTTACATATTGTTATTTGATTTCAAAGATATTAATTAATTTTGAGGATCATATTCGAAGATATATTACTATGAACCATCGAATTTATCATCAAACGCGTAAAATCAATTTTCGTGACATCATTAATAGTCTTTCGACCCGATTTAGCTCGGAGATCAGGTACCGCCAATTTTTGCGCCATCACTATTCCACCCTCAAAAATCTGTATAAGAAACCAATCTTTTGTGTTCTAACAAAAATTTTTTCTTTAACAATTTTACTATTATAAGTATTCTCCTTTAACTACGAGTATACAAATAGTAGTAGAGTATGGTTTAGTAAAGTAGTGGAGTATAATTAGTACTCTGCAAGATCAAGTCAAAGTTTGAATTTGAATCAAATACTTTCAAATATTTGATTCAAATTCAAACTTTGACTTGATTTTGCAGAGTACTAAGTATAATCATTAAATTAACACGTGTGTATAATTGGTGAGGTCACAACTGAGTATAAAGTATATAGTATGCAAATGTATATAAAATTTATACAAACGTGATGCTTTAAAACTTATAATATCGGATCCAATTTTTATTAATTTTAATAATTGGAGTCTATAATGTTATTTTGATAGTTTAAAAGGCCGAAGTTTAATATGGTCGTTAGATAGCAAATGCAATGATCATGATCTTTTTTTAAAATAAATAAATAAATAAAATCGGGTTTAAAATATTTTCATTAATAAAAACGATGCTAATATCTTCAAATGATATTAGTTTAAGTGAGGCATTTTTCAACGAAGAAAATTTTTTCCAAAATAATTTTTTTAATACTAATAAAGATAAATTTTTTTTGAAAAATAGTTTCTCTAAGGAAAGTTTAATACCAACAATATATTTGTAGATTTTCTGCAGACTTATTTTCTCGAGAATTTCTAAATCTTCACCCGAAGTAAAAGCCCGATAGTGTTGCAGTCGATAAAATTTTATAAGTCGATAATTTTAATTAAATTTAGACAGCAAATAAACACTTACGGCTGTTCTTAATTCTGACTGTTTTAAAACATTGGCTATAAATATAAAAGCTTACTGAATTCAGCCAAATAATTATTGATCAATATCGGTTGTTTCAGGAAAACCATTATTCTACAAGTTAGTTCTTGTCTACACTCAGTGAAAATAGATTAATTAGTCCATTTTTAATGATTTATCTAAATCTACAAGCGATCCTTATCTGTACAGCACGTAATAGGTTGTTCCACGTTTTTTGGATCGATCTATTTAAATCTGAAAGTATTTTTTGAATTTCTTAATCTATTTAAATCTGTATTTAATTCATCGTATTTGCTTTATATCACAACGAATTCGTTATCAAGATGATTTATTTAGATCTACTAGTGATTCAAAATACATCAATTGCTGATGATTTATTAAAGGGAATGGAAGTTCAAGTTTGTAAAAAACTTTGATTTTGTTAAAGCGACCATGTAAAAAGTCTCGATTTTTTAAAAGCAGTGCAAACAATCTTGATTTTTTTTCTTTATGACTATACTATTTTATATTATATATATGATGAGTATAGCTAGTTTTATATACTCAAATACGTATACTCCACTAGGGGCCTGCAAATTACCTATTTTTGTGGCCCGACCCGCACTTAGTTTTACAGCTGTTTTCATAAATTCTGGAAATCTGGCAAAAAATTGACCAATAGAATCGGCAAATATTCGATCAGTCAATTTCTTGCCAGATTTCCAGAATTTATGAAAACGGCTGTAAAAATTTTTTGCCGGCCCGGCCCGCATATATATAAATTTTTTCTTCAGGCTGGCCTGACCCAGCCCAGCGCGCAAAATTTATTATTAAATTTTAGGCCCGCAGTTGTAAAATTTTGCTTCAGGCCCGGGCTGCGGGACCCAATGCAGGCCTCTATACTCCACTACTTTACTAAACCATACTCTACTACTATCCGTAATACCGTCTAACTCTTGACCATAGCTTTGACCAAGAATTTTGTCTGCGCTACAACTTGGTACACATTTTCCAAGTGCAATTTACTTTGCCCATCTCTATTTTCCCGACGATATCATTTCGCCGACAGTACTTTCTTCCCGACAATTATTTTACCGAATATTCTCAATGATAGTTTGTTTCTCCGACAGCTATTACTCAAAAAGCAATTTTAATGCACTAATACCCACCCTTACCATAACATAAACTCTAACAATAACTTGGAAAAGTAATATTCAGTAAAATAATTGCCGGAAAGAAAGCACTGTCGGTGAATTGATACTGTCGGGTAAAATGGTTGTTTGGAAATTATACTGTCGAGAAAATAATACTGTTGGGGAAACGAGTGACGAGAAAGTTGCGTCAGTGAAATCAGGTGTTGGTGAAATGAGAGTCGGGAAAATTAGTGCCACCGATGATACCAGGAACCTGGCATAACCACCAAGATCAGAGTTTCAATTAATATGACGATTTCTGTAATATTAATAATCTGAAAAAAAAAGAACTTAATTTTATTTTTCCCATATCTAAATATCAAAATTTTTTTTTTTTTACTATACACCAAAAATCAACCGATTTATTTGAAATTAACGCCAATAAAAGGAGCTGTATTAACCAAAGGAGGTATAGATTCAGGGCGTGATAATTTTAAAAGAGAGTGGGAAATCTTACTACATGTACTATCAAAAATGTCAATAGATAATAAACAGTGCATATTTCTTTCTTATTTTTTAATAAGCAGTTATTGATCTCTTGGAAACATGGATGTTTATTTCTTCGAAGATATATTTGTTTATTATATCCATTTATTTAGATCAACGAAATACGAAATTCGAATTATTCTCTTATTATGGAAGCTGGTGAGAGATAATTCGCACATTAACAACATTAACACCAATTGTTTATTTGAATACGAATTCAACTATTTCTGAATATAATAATATAGCTGAAGCAGACGAGGCAGATACTAAGACAGGAATTGTCCTTTACGAAATATAATATATATTAATTGTATTTTGTTCACATGGATATATACATAATCTTGAAAATCTTCCACAATAAAAAAAAAAACTTATCGTTTAAAAAATATTGATTCAAAAATGGTAAATGGTAGAAGCGTACGAAGAGTCTTCCAAAAACATGGAATGGAAGAAATAAAAGTAAAATTTATTGCCTAGATAAAGGACTGTTTAGGTATTTCTGTAAACAATAAACACTTTCAATTATATTAATAAGGTAGGAAATTATTAACTTGGGATTTCGATTTTTTGATAAAATTCGAAATTTTCATCGAACCATTTTTTACTTGGTTATGCATTCGATATTAGTCGTCAGGATTCTGTAATCAAAAATTTAAATACAGATACGTAACTGATCTTGTTGGTCATTCTAGGGTTGTTCTAATGATAAAGTTATAGTTAAACTCCGATACATATGTAGCTGCGTACATTACCGGATTTTTGAGGTGATCCAAAGTTTTAAAATAATTAAAAAATCGAAAAAGGCACAATAGAATCCAACTCCTTTACCATTTTCAATTGCTGTATTCCATTCAAGTGCTTATTCATTACGCCTATAAATTAAAATACATAGTCATTAAATATTGACCAGTATCAAATCTCCCTTATTACGGGGTATATACATTTCGTAGCACGATATAAATCTTTCGCATAGAAAGTCTCTTAAAAAACGAATCCGCAACCTCTGTTATGAATACATGCACGCATTTTTGTTTAGGGACGTTTACGCATTTTTGTTTAGGGACGTTTACGCATTTAATTTTCTGCATGCAAGTTGTTCCTTTGTTCCACCAATTTGATTTTATTAAGGGGGAATAATTATTTTTGCTGTTAAGGGTTAGTATTTTGCAAAAATACTATTCTTGGTATTGATCCTGGTAGGATAGAAAAAATCGATTTATGTACTATTCCTGATAGACTTTTACAGTATTATCGTACGTAGTAAAAAAATGGCAGAATTTGACAGACCTATTATTATTGTTGTTCATTTCGATTGTAAGATCAATATGCAGCAGTAGCAAATTAAATAATAATAATAATAATAATAATAATAATAAAAAGAAAGTAACGAGAAATCAGAAATACATGCCAACTAGTTTTCGTTATTGTATTATCTCAAAGGTCAAATGTTTAGGTAAATTTCGAGATCAGCGTTATGGATCATGACTTTGGCATTCTCATGAGAAAGTATATCACGGTTACACAGCACACAAATTTATGATATACATACAAGTAACTCTCTTTGATATAAGAAAGTTTCGACATAAGAAGGATCTTGGCTGGACTCGATGACTTGTTTATATCAAGAGTCAGTTGTAATATTTTATCGTTTATTTGTATATTATTTTCGTATAACTTGATATGCTTTTGGAGCCGACTGTACATAAGTCGTTTGTTTTCAATCTTATGAGGAATAGTACCGACGGTTCATCAGGAACGGTATTTTGCACTAGCATTGTTTATGTTTTGACAATTTTTTATATTATAAATTTTAAAGTAGTTGGTTTATTAAGCAGTAAATTATTAAATAACAGATTCTTTTTAATAAAAAAAAATAATTATCATTATGCATCGAGCGCATAAACACAATAATCTATTAATGCATATTATAACTTCATTTTAGAAATAAAACAATAAGCTGCAAACATATGAAATATTTATACAAATATAGTACGTATGTAGCTATACTATAGTGACCACTTTGCTAAAATAATAAGAAATAATAAAGCAAAATTATCAGACATTATTAAGAAAAATTGCAAAAAAAAAAAAAAACACTTACGAGTAAGCAGCACATCTTGGACCAAGGGTAGTATTACCAAAAGCTCTGAGGACAACTTGATGAGGAAGTGACACTTCTGGGCCAACAACAAAATGAACAGGAGAAGATGCATAACCGGGTTTCATATCAATTCCCTTTTGCCATACAACACCCACAAGTCCTTCTTGTTCCTTCAACATTTCACAGTCAATGCACATATCAACTTCTGATGTTGGATCTTTCGCCCACATGACAGTAATTATAGAATCATTTTTAATCTGTATGGGTTGGTTGTATTTATCATCATGTGCATAAGGATATAGAAATCTGAACCCTGAGAAAAGGTAATACCCGGATTTAATATATTTCGAAGTTAATAGTTGATCGAGAAAACATTAAAACAAAATTTGTACCTTTGCATATGCGTTTAATATCATATTTGCTATCTTTATGGTTTTTTTTATGGCTCTTTTTATGGTTCTTTTTATGATAGGCACGTTTATCTAAACCTAAGTATACAAGAAATATTAAAATATGATCTTTTTTTTCAATTACGAAAAAAAGTACTTTAATGAACACTTACTTTCAGTTAGATCTGAATCGGTTGTTCCATAGGAAGTATATATCAAGGCGAAGATGAATAATACTGCAAAAATCAATTTCTGGTTTGAAAGCAACATTTTCTTTCTTTTTTTAAAAAATAAACAAAAAGAGAAAAGATATTGCGAGGAATGAACCAACAATTCAAGGATATTTATATCAAAATACGTTCTATATCTATTGAGACTTTCAACACACGAAAAAGTACTGCCATCAGGGATATGCACAATCGTACGAATTAAAATGTATGGGGTGCTGCAGAAAAATAATTTCACCTAGCCAATTATACGCATCATATCTTATATTTCTTTTGTCCTTTTAATTTCTCCTCAATCGATGCACACTTTCATTCTAGGAGAAAACGCCTCAAAAATATTTATTTTATGTAATCCCTGAACAATTTTATGCAAGTTGAGCTTCATGTATCTTTTCAAAGTATTAAAGTTTATATAGGTTTCCATTGACAGTTATTAATTTTAATTATGGGAACACAATGTGTGCAATTAAATTACATACCTATGTACATTTAATCTTGCCTTAAGACTTGCATTGTCATGTAGTACATATTAACAATTTTATACTTGAAGTAAATTCACTCAAATCTTGCTATATCGATATTGCTCGAATCCTGTCTTTTTATACAATATACGATAATTATATTATTCAGCTCAGTCAGATCGCAAAAATTGATAAACTTTTACTGCATGACTTTTTGTTTGAAAACAGGTCAATATCACGTTATTACCTTTGAGTTAGATTTGATTATCGTCGTAAATAAAATAAATACATATATTAGCATTAACGTTAATGCTAACAATCGTTATTATTTGATTTGTGTTAACAATTTACATTGAAAAATTTCAGATGCGTGCTTTACAAAATTTATCTGCATTAGCAGTTCTAGATCTTTTTTTTTTGACTTGGTTTGAAACTTCCCGATCCATCCCTTATTCTATACGTATTATAATTTTTTATATTCAAATAAATAAATATATGTATTGTAACGAAGTTGTAATTCTTATAGTAACAAGCTCTCAATAATTGTTTGTTACGTTCCTCTACTGAATACGTATAAAATGTTTGTTATACATTGATAATTAGTGTTGATTAATAAATGCTTTATATTAATTCTACGTATTGAAATTTTGTATTAATATGATAGGTATCATTAGAAACCAAGCAAATTATTTCTAAGTAATTTTTTTTAACCTTTGAAATACAGGTTTTGACCATCAATTTCGAACACCCTTATCAAGAACGTACCCACTCCAAATAATAAAAATCAATTAACAAGTATTTAAGAATAGGTTCATTTTTGATAGAGGCGTGTCCGAAATTGATGGTCAAAACCAGCAAAACATCTCAACAACTATTAAACCAAACTTGATAAAAAATTTTATTTTAATTCTATATATCTATAGAGTTAAAATAAAAAAATTTTTGATCAACTTTGGTTTAATAATTGTTGAGATATTTTAATTCAAAATTTAAAAAACTTTCACTAAAAACAATTTGTGGTTTTTGCTGACACCTCTTATGTATAATATATGTAGATTAGGAACTTACGTATATGAGTGTCGCCAAATTAAAACCAGTAACTGACCATAACAAATTCCTCAGTTCCTTTTTTAATTTGGCTGTACGGTCAGACCTCTCTATAATCACGCCAAACAATTCATTATACTTTTTTTAAAAAAGAGGTGCTTATAAAGAGTTATGCTTAAGAATTTTTTATAATAGTTTGTTTTAAATAGATGTGCTTATAAAGAGAATTTTTTATATACTATAAAGAGTCTAACTTTACTCATATTATTTCCGAGTAATCGAAATTGTTTTGAGCTTGTAGAAACATTTCGACATTTGATAATTAGTCTGTCGAAATTCTAAAATGTCTAATGTCAAAATGTTTAAATAATATCGAAATGTCAATTAAATATATATATATATATAAACTTATTTATTAGCAAGTATCCGAACTTGTTTATTTTGTGGATTCACACTACCTTAAAATAAATTTGATTCAAAAACGGTTGCTTGATCCTATCCACCAGGTTTAATTATATAAGCTTTTCTAAATAATTTTTCACATTTTGTACGTGTTTTTCTTTACACAGTACTTGCTATGCTAAAAGTTTATATCTTGGGTCTGAATTACTATCAATTCAAAAATCAGTTACTTTAATGTACAAGTCCTCTCTATTATAAATTTAGACATTTAGTCATAGTATTTATTTGGGTATGTATCATTTCACCGACAACCCATTTTACCGACAATCAATTCGCTGACAAGTTTATTTCACCGACAACTATTTCACTGACAGCCTATTTCACCGACTAGTTTTTTTTTAAAAAATTGCACTAACATTAACTCTAATTCTAACTGACCCTAACAAAAATGACTAGAATTACTTTGTTAATGAAATGACTGTCGGTGAAATAAACTTGTTGCGTTCGGTGAAGTGACTGTTGGACATTTAGTCAAATTTGGAATTTTGACATTTTACAGTTATTTTCATAATTCCTGAAACACCTGATAAAAATTGACCAAATGATGATCTGACCGGTTCGATTAAGTTTATGATTTCAATACAATATATACAAATGGGTATTACAGAAATGTGTATTGTATAGACTTGTATGTACAGTAGTCAACAAAAATAACATCCGATAGTCAATTTTATAGGAAAACATATAAAAAATTGAAATTTATATAATTGTAAAAATCAATATTTTTTTTATTTAAAAAAATTTTTTAATTTAATTAGTAAATTCACTATTTATATTCTATAATATGTGAGTTTCATCAAGTCAAACAAATTGAAATTTATTTTTTTTTAAATTATGAAGTTTACAATTCAAAATTTTATATATAAAACATATAAAATTTGTAAATTTGATTTTAAAATTTAATTTAAATTTTAATTTTTTTTTAAAAAAAATTTAATTAAAATTATTAAAATAATTTATTATATTTTAAGAGTAATATAAAATAAAAAAATTATTTTATAAAAAAATATAAGTTTAATTTTTTAAAATTATTAAAAATCCAAAGTTTTAATAATAAATATATACATATATATTTTTTCCTAAATAATCATGTTAGTGCTTTATTAAGATTTTTGAAATTACTTTTGTAATTACATAAATATATCTAACAATTAAGCCTAGTATTACCTAGTTATTCTAATGGCATCTAAGTGCAACCTGTTATATTACTTTAAGCAGAAATAAGCTACTTGTCTGATTACTTAAAGTCTGTAATAAAAGGGTCTTTCTTTTTTATAACAAGCTTTTAAATTGTCTTTTTAATTTTATTTTCGATTTGCTTTTTTTTTTTACTTTTTTTTTTTACTTTTTTATCTCTTACTAACTAGTCTTCTTCTTACTTAGATTCTTTTTTTTACTTTATTTATTATTTCTCTTTTTTTTCTTATTTATTAACTTTTTTACATTATATTTTTTAGACTTGCTTATAAAAGTTGTTTCAGGTTGTTTTTGTTATTACATTTATAAACTATTATCTTATTTTTATATTCAAAAGTTGTACTAATCTGCCTTGAATTGCTTCTGGAATTAGATTTTTAATTAGTGTTTTTCTTATTTTTATTTTTTTTATCTATATTTTTTCAAAGAATATTATATATAATATATTAAATAAAACTTAGATTTTTTTCTTTTAATCTTTTTTATGTTATTGTAATAGATATTTTCTGTATTCTTTTTCAAAGATTTATTTGTTCTTTATATAATATCAAATATTTTTATATTTCTTTAACTTTATTTTAATAAACTTAGTATTTTACAATTATATATATATCTGACTTTCTTTTATTAAGTTCTTCTAAGATTAAAAATTTGTCCAATATATATTTATAAAAACACTTCTTAAACTACTTCTTCTTGTCATACAGTATACTTTTTTGAATAACTTTAGTCTTTTTCAAAAATATGGTTAATCATAGATTATTACTTCTGTTACTGATTCTAAATTTTTAATTATTATTATTTTTTTTACTTTATTTTTAGTCTGATATTTGTTACTAGTTTATATAAAAGTTTTGCTAATATATTTATTTGTTTGTTTTCTCACTCTAGGCAGTATTTTATCTTATTATATCTGACCTTTTCTGAATATATTATTTTTTTACTTAATGTTTCTTTTTTTGTAAGACTATTAGCTTTATTATTTTATTTGTCTTTATTATGACTTTTTATTTTAAATTATTTTATTTATATATTTTTTATTCTAATTATATCAATTATCTTTACTACTTATAATGCATTTTTCCTTTTAAAAATTTTATTTTTATTTATGTACTTTAAATCTCTACTAATATTTTTAATTGTTCTATAAATATTTTTAGTTTTTTCTTTTTTGGTATTGTCAAAATTATCACCTATATTGCTAGTATCTTAGTTGTAATAAATGTTAGCTATCCTTTTACTTCTAATACTACTAATGCTATTTTTTCTTTTAACTAATCTTGTACTTTACTTATTTATACTTATTCTATATTTATATTTTTATTTATTATTTCTTTATTATTTTTTATATTTGTCACACCATCTGTATATATTATATATTTGTTCTTGCTTCTTAATATATATATTTTTTTAATATCTTTATTATCTTTTAACTAATGTTTTTCCTTAGCTTTGCTTTTTAACTAATTTTATTTTAGATTCTTTAGCACTTTAAGTTTTATTAGCTTTTGTTCATTTTTTTTCAATTTTTTTGCATTTATATTGTCATGATCCAAAATAGGATCGTCGATATTTCATTTAAGTTATATTGCATAATGAAGTAATAATATATAGTAATTATTATAGCATATAGTATATAGAGTGTAATTAGTAGATACAGCACATAGAGCATAATTAGTAAATGGAGCACATAGAGTGTAATTAGTAGATATAGCGTAATCAATATAATTAGTAGATATAGCATATAGAGCATAATTAGTAGATATAGTGTAATCAGTGTAATTAGTAGATATAGCATATAGAGCATAATTAGTAGATATAGTGTATAAGGAAAAAGTATATAAGTAATGTAGTTATAATGTAATAAAAGAGAGGT